GTTGTAGAGGATACTCATGCACACTGAATGTGGTCAGTAAATGTTTCTTAATCAATAAGAATTGGGCCAGATTGGTGTTTCCCTGTGGGAGCTGTGTGAGATGTAGACAGTACACAGGTATTTTACGTTTTATTTGGTTAAGTATTTATTACAGCGTTGCATTAAAAGAAAATACCTGGGAGCATGTCGGCCATGGGTATTAAACAAAGCGAGTTATCTAAAGACTTCCTACATTGCTGGATGTGGTGGCTCACACCTTAGTCTCAGCACTTGGGAGGCAGAGGCAGGTGGATTTCTGTGAGTTTGAGGCCAGCCTGGTCTGCGTAGTATGTTCTGGAGTTTCCGGCTAGCCAGGACTATGTAGTAAGACTCTGAGTCAAAAAAAACCCATATCAACCAGCGAAACATACACACATACACACACACACACACACACACACACACACACACACACGCATGCACGCACGCACGCACGCATGCACGCCCCATGCCCCATAAAATCCCCAAACAAATGAATAAAGCCGTACTACATTGAACAGGTAATGCATGAATGCTTGGAAACTGAAAGCAACCACAGTGTAAAGACTGAGACACTGTTTAAGGTCTTTCCAAATCTTAGAGATTTGAGTCTTTGGATGTGGGTTGCCTTCCCTCTTCTCCTCTTGCTATAATGCCAAAGTCTACTCAGAAATAGCTTTGTTGACAGATAGATGTGGTAATCTATTTGAGCTTTTAAGACCAAAAAAAAAAAATTATTATTAAGGCTGAGTTTTTCATGTTTGTTGGTAAGTTGTATGAATTGCCACCAAATATGTCTTTTTATTATTTTTTCTTCTGGGAATTTTGGGAGTGTTTTGTTTGTAATTCTGTCGTGAGAATACACATACTCTGTGGTGGCTGCAAGCTTTTCTCCTGATTTGGTCCTTGCATTTTGGGTTTGTTTGTGATAGACTTCCTGCATCTCAGGAGACCTGCATTTACCTCTGTGACATGCAGGTCCTTGTACTTTAACTTCTTTGGAATCAGATACTTTTGTTTTGGTCTTTTTGAGATAGGGTCTCCCTGTAGCCCCAGATGGCCTGGAGTGCGATATTTAGACCAGACTGGCCTTGAACTTAACAGAGATTCTCCTGCCTCTGCCTCCTGAGTGCTGGGCTTAAAGGTGTGCACCACCGTGCCTGGCTGGAATTGGATGCCTTTTACCTTCTACAAGCCCTATGGTCCCTGTGCATGCAGATGCAGTAGGTCTTTCTGGTGGTATGGTTGGCAGCTGCCACTATAGCCCCTGAGTGTTTCTCAACATTCCATTTAAGGGCCACTGAAGGAAGAACACAGATCCTGGTCACTGTTTGAAACAACTTTGGACATCTTCTAATGTAGTTCCAAAGAAGGAGCCAATATTCAAACTCAGATGAAGATCAGGACATGAAAGAAATCTCAGAGAGGTTTCAAGCTTTCATGATGAAATGCCCTTCATCCCTGTGCCATCAACTCATGAGTAGTGTGCACTGGAGACACTCACAGATCTGAAAGTGAAGACAACCCACCTACTTCAGTCCTCCTTAGTGTGTATGTGTAGTGGGGGGGATAATCTGTCTAAAGAAATGCAAACGAGGAGCTGGGGAGATGGCTCAGTGGGTAAAGTGCTTGCTGCACAAGCATGAGGACCTGAGTTTGGATTTCCAGTACCCATGGAAAAGCTGGGCACAGTGGTGACATCTGTAACCCCAGCACTGGGGGAGGGGGAACAGGTGCATCCTTGATACTCAAGGGCCAACTATTTTAGCCGAATCAGTAGCTCCAGGTTCAGTGAGAGACCCTGTCTCAAAATGTAAAGGGGAGAGTGATAAAGGAAAACACTTGACATTGACCTCTGACCTCTACAAGTACATACTTTTATGTGCATGTTCATATAAGTGTGCACACGGGTGCATTTACAAGAAATGTAAAGGAACTTTTGGTTTTGAGGCACAGTCACCCTGTGTAGCCCAGTCTGGCCCCCAAGTCATGATTCTCCTGCCTCAGCCTCCTGAAGGCTGGGATTACAGGCCTGTGCACAGCTTAAAAAGAGCTTTCAAATGATCATAGGATTACAATTCTGGGTGGTAAGTAGTAAATTAATTGGCAATATTTTATTTTCTTGGTGGTACACATTAATAGATGACATCTTAGAGCTGATGGAACTCATTATGTAGTTAGTGTAGAAAATTCAGGAAATAGGGGCTGGAGAGATGGCTCAGCGGTTAAGAACACTGACTGTTCTTGCAGAAGACCTGGATTCGAATCCCAGCACCCACATGGCAGCTAACAACTGTCCCTAACTCCAGTTCCAGGGGACCTAACAACCTCTTCTGTCCTCTGGAGGCATTGCACAACACAGGTGCACTTACCTACATGCAGGCAATACACGCACACACATAAATTAAAAAAAATTTAAAAAGGAAAATTCAGGAAATAGCCAGGCATTGTGGCTCACACCTTTAATCCCAGCACTTGGGAGGCAGAGGTAGGCGGATCTCTGTGAGTTCAAGGCCAGCCTGGTCTACATAGTGAGTTCCAGGCCAGCTGGGCTACAGGGGGACCCTGTCTCAAAAAAAATTTCAGGAAATATGGATAATGATAATCAAAACCCCACCAGAAATATGAACTCTTCTCTGGTTTTGTTTCCGTTGATGTCTTCTAGTCATTACCTAGGCACAAATGCCTTTTTGGACCCATGTGCTGTTTTCTCTTAGCAGTATATCTTGACATCTTGCCATGCCTGTGTCTTCTAGTTCATGTTGTGATTGGTTAGCATTTCTACATACGGATACACTCATTTGTTGCTTTAACCTCCAGTTGATGGCCTGTAAATTCTGAAGTCTGTTGCTCATCTTCAGCACTCATGTCAGTAATGCCAGACAGCCCTCTCTCGCCTACTTCATCCCTCCAGCGTGTTACAGTAAATCCTCGTGTGTTGGCTACTATGCCTGGCCACATGGTGAGTTCCTGTTTCTAATCCCCAAGCTGAGAACGTCCTTCCCCAGTGGTGAGGCTTGGAACAAACCTTCTTGCCTCAATTGCAGAACAGCTTTTGCCACTAGATGGCACTCCAAGATTCCTCTGAAAGCTGTCACCCAGCTCATTGCAACTAGATGCTCAACACACAGTTCAGAGACTTGGTAGTGCATGCCTTTACTCCCAGCATTTGGGAGACAGAGGGGGCAGGTCTCTGTGTAATTGGGGCCGGCCTGGTCTCCATAGCAAGTTTCAGGTCACCTGTGGCTACAGGAAGACAGTGTCTTAAAAAGACCAAAAAAATTATGTGCAACAGTCTTAACCCTTCTTCTTTGTAACACCTGATCGTATTTTTTTCTTAAAGACCATAAGTGGCTCTGGTATTTTTCATTTTATTTTATTCTTTATATTTAAAAAATACAGACTTGCATACTATTTAATTGCTTTTATTATATTAATGAGCCGAACATTGAAAAGCACACCATTTTATTTTTGTATTTATTTGTGGTGGGCACTGAACCTAGTGCTTTAGGCAAAAACTCTACCAGTTAGCTTTATACTCTTTCCACTTTAGATAACTGAGTAAGCTTGCTGTGGTAAAGCTATGAGTGTGCAGCTTCCTTTGGACCATGTAGACTGCCCAGCAAATCTTGTCCATTAGTGAGTGTTTTCACTCTTTTTGTGTTGAGCTGTTGGATTGAATACCTTCAGGTGTTCAGTACCTTCCTCATGGGAGTCTGCACATGTGTGAACATCAGTGTGTGACACTGAGGGAGACAGATTTGTACAGAATATGGCACCCACTGTAGCAAGACAAAATCAGCCTTGTTACCTAGTATGGTGGCGTATGTCTGTAATCTCAGTCCTTGGTACACTGAGGCAGGGAGAATGCAAGTCCCAAGGCCGGCTAGGAGTACAGTGCGACCCCATTTCAAAACAAACAACAAAAAGAAAAAGAAGTAAATCTTACTGGTAGATAAAAGATGTAGTGTATTTTTCTGGGAGCTTGGGATGTAGACAGGAACTAGCTAGCTAGCTCTGTCTGTCTCTGTAAAGTCTCAAAAAATGAGGCAGAGAGTGATTGGGGACACACACACACACACACACACACACACACACACACACACACTACCTTAAACCTTGACTTAGTTATTAAGGAACATGAAAGTGGAGGTATAAAGACTCAGGGTATCAGCTAAGCTTTCTGTTACATTGAACAGAATCTTGACGTAAGTGGCCCACATTATAAAGATACCAACTAGCTCACAAACTGAATGTTGAGAGGTAGAGTGAGGTACAGGCCTGTTGTGGCTTATCGTTGCCTTGGGGATACTGGTTCTTGGCCTGACTTAGTGTCCTGACCCTTCTTCCTCATGGTTATTAGAAGGCTTCTAGTGATAATCAGGATACCAGGAACACTGAAACTAACTTCTTATTAATGCATACCCAGGTAAAGAGAATTTGGGCTATCATAGTATTTTTTGAGTTGTAGTTACTATATTTGTTCCTGGTTTCCCCACTATGACCTCAAAGGAAATGTAACAGCTGGCACTTATTATACAGAGTTGGAGAAATACTGAATTGGGAATTAGTGATATTGGCTGGTATTTTGGGGTCTCCCTCTGGGCACAGAATGGTTGGTCGAGTAGAATTGTCTGGCTAGCTCTGACTAGTGAGTTTGCCGAGTGAACAGATGATCATAATCTCAGTAAATGGTAAGGTAAGGTTATTTGGTGCTTGGGGTCCTGGGAAAGGAATTAGCAATATGAGGAAGAGAGGTGAGAAGTGATCACTGTGGGAAACTTGCAGGGCTTTGTCATGCAGGTATGAGGATGGGAGGTGAGTGTAGTTAAAGGGTTGTAAAGCAGTTCATATGCATTTATCGACCTTTTGAGGCAGATGATTTTCCTCTGGATCCCCTACCTGGCTCCTGGGAACTCAACGGTGGTCCTGGGCTTGAAACTGTGAATCCACACTCACCTGCCTGCCTTCGTACTCCACAGGTTTGCGGTAAGCATTGGCTACTGGCATGACCCATACATCGAGCACCTTGTGAGGCTGTCTAAAGAGAGGAAGGCTCCCGAAATTAACAGAGGCAAGTGGCCATCTTCCTCCCCACCATCTCAGCACCCATGAATCCTGAAGTTCAATAGACTCACTCTTGGTTTTTTTTGAGACAGGGTCTTTTTGTAGCCCCAACTGGCCTGGAACTCACTATGTAGACCAGGCTAGCATCGCAGAAATCGACCTGCCTCTGCCTCCAGAGTGTTGGGATTAAAGGCATCCGCCACCGTGCCTAGCCACAGACATAGACTTAAAAGAGCATACAGAACAGGAAAGGCCTTAGTTCACAGTGGCATGCTATGAAACTTTGAAAATCTCAATCTGATCATGAGAAATGATGTGGCTGAAATTTTATTGTATTTATTTATAGGTGAGGCTACATTTCTGTGTATTTAAAACCCATTTATGGGTGCAGATGTGCCTCATTCATAGAGTACTTGCCTAGCCATGCACAAGCCCAGGGATTTAATCCCCAGCACTGCAAAATATGTGCGTACATACATGCATACATACATACATACATAGAATAAAGCATATTTATAAGCTGAGTGTTGTGGGACATGCTTATAATCTCAGCTCTCTGAAGGCTGAAGAAGGAAGATTGTGAGTTTGAAGTCAGTCTGGGCCTACATAAGAACCTGTCTCAAAAAAGAAAACAAAAATTCAAAACAGAACAAAAATATTCTATATTTTTTGTTATGAATTGTGTTTGTGTGTGGGATTGGTTACCTTTTGTTGCCTTTTTGTGGTATGTGTAACACTGTCAGACTTTGTAAGTCATTTTCATCAAGGAAGTTCAAGAATTTGAGGCAGGGACAGGGCTACCTCCAGCTCTAGTGAACAATTAATTGACCAGGTGATCCTAATTCTTCCGTGGGCAGGTGTGCAGGGACTCTGGGCCGAGAGAGGAGGATCCTGCAGATGGGTTCTGTGAGAAATGACAGAAATGTAAAAAGCAGTGGTCCCAAGCTAAGGCCATGCTAGTTTACTGTGCATTCCTTCTTGTGGTCCTGAGGCAGATTTCCTCTGAATGTTGCAGAGCCAGGGACCCATGTGGCCCCTGGTTCCCTGATGCCTTTGAGGGATAACCTGTGTTTTTTCTCTGGATCTCTCTCCCAGGATATTTTGCTCGAGTCCACGGTGTCAGCCAGCTTATAAAGGCTTTTCTCCGGAAGACAGAATGTCACTGTCAGATACTCAACCTTGGGGCTGGGATGGATACTACCTTCTGGAAATTAAAGGTAATGTAAAATTCCTCTCCTATTCTCCAGTTGTTTCAGTTTAATTTTTTGAAGACTATTCCCTAGTTCAAAATCTTAGAAATATGTTAAAAAGAAGGGGCTAGGGAAACGACCTAGTTGATAAAGCACAATCCTCAGAACCCATGTAGAAAGGTGGGCATGGGCATAGTAGTGTGTGCTTAGAATCCCAGTGATGGTGAGCTGGGAGGGAAAGTAGAGGGAGATCCCTGGGGCCAGTTGGCCTAACCTACTTGGGGAACTTTCCAGGTCAATGAGAAGTCCTGTCTCAGACAAAAATTGCAATGTTTCTCAGTACGTGCGGGCACACGCACGCACGCACGCACACACACACACACACACACACACACACACGCACGCACGCACGCACGCGCATGCGCACATAGGTAATTTTTTAGAAAAGAAATCATATTAGGGGTTGGGGATTCAGCTCAGTGGCAGAGCACTCGCCTAGCTAGCGCAAGGCCCTGGGTTCAGTCCTCAGCTCAAAAAAAAAAAAGAAATCATATTAAAAAGAATTCAGGGATAGACTTCACAGCCCTGTCTGCCTAGATACCCCTCATAATCACTGTCAGCCCCATATTTTTCTTATTCACAGCCCAGTAAGATTAGTTTCTAGGGGGCCAGAGAGACAACTCAGTGGTTAAGAACACATATGCTAGCTGGGTATTGTGCTATACACCTTTAATCCTAGCACCTGGGAGGCAGAGGCAGGTGGATTTCTGTATGATCCAGGCCATCCTGGTTTAACAGCCTATAACGCTAGTTCTGGGGGATCCAGTGCCCTCTGGTTGGTCTCCATGGGTATTGCAGTCACATGCATAAACCCACACACAGACACACATAGACATAATTAAAAATAAAAGTAAAATATTTAAAGATTGTTGTTTCTAATTGTTATTTCAAATAGGATTATAATAAAGTTCACATGTTCCCTTCCATACATGTAGATGTGTATCAGGAGGAAATATTCTACCACTAGAATTTCTGAGACCAAGCCTATTGTCCTAGTTTGTCTCTCCATTGCTGTGAGAAAACACTCTGACCACTACCAACTTGGGGAGGAAAGGGTTTATTTAGCTTACATATCCTGGGTCACAGTTCATCCAGGAGCCCAAGGTAGGAACTCAGGGCAGGACCCTGGATGCCGGGGGTTCGAACCAGCGACCCCCAGGCAGTGATGATTGGGGATGAGTAAGCACGCCGTTCGCCAGCCCATGCTGCCCCCAATACCCGGGGACACTCAGACGCAACGGGGAGTCTAGTCAAGCAGGGACTCATTTATTACAGGTATTATAGAGCTCATAAAGGCACCTGGAAATCCCCCCTCACCCCTGAGAGTGCATCTTAAGGATGGTCACGCGCTGATCATGCACTCCTCAGCAGTGCGGAAGTATTCTTCAGACTTTCAGAGCAAGCCAGGCCATGCCCCCAGTAACTTCCTTTCGGACCTATGCAAGGTGGGGCCTTTAGGTCCCCACACCTGGAGGCAGGAGCTGGAGCACAGTCCATGGAGGAGTGCTACTTACTGGCTTGCTCCCTGGCCCCTGCTCAGCCTGTCTTCTTATGCAACACAGGCCCACCTACCCAGGGGATGCACCACCCACAGTGGGCTGGACCCTCCCACATCACTCAACAATCAAGAAGGTGCCCCATGGACATGGCCACAGGCCAGTCCAATGAAGGAAATTCCCCAGTTGAGGCTCCCTCAACCCAGGTGTGTCAAGTTGTGCTATCCAGCACACCTATGCATTTGTAATTTTGACAGTATGATTATGTTACCCATGGCCTATCATTTTGGGTAAAATTCAGAGATTTGCAAAGTTGGGCAGGATATAATGCAAAGGCCTGTTGTAGTTATTCTGATTGGATCCCCTGCCACACTGTTAGCATTTGAGGGCAGGTCTGATTGTACACACTCACATGGAAGGAAGCATGAACAGGTCATGGCAGGACCAGGGCTGATGTGCATTGGCCTCCTGAGTTGGTTTTCATGGTGAGTGTCCTCCCTGGTTGCATTTTCTTTTTGTAAGCTTGTGCATATTTCTCGAGGTCAGTCACATGCAGTAATGGGTATGTGCATTTCCCCAGATTCCTGGTAAATGTAGAACAAGATAAATAAGAGTGTATGTACGTAACCTGACCTGCTCAACTCTTTGGTTCCTAATCAGCTCCCTTGATAAGAACTTTGATCATCAAGGCTCCCAGCTTTTCTCCTACGTGAGAAGCCAGTGACCTCTATGTGGTCTTGCTGTTCCTCATTTGCCTCTGTGTTATTTTCTCAGATAAGGTAACTAACATTATGAGATGGTATTACATAGAGGACCACAAGAATTAATGTGAGAGCTCTGTGAGGGGGTTTTCATAGGTGGAGGAAAAGGGGCTAGGCCAGACTGTGCCTTCTGGGACCCTACAACCAGAGGCTCTAGAGTGGGGAGCACACATTCCAGTCAGCTCATCAAACTCCTCTTTACACACAGTACCTGTGGTGGTTCAGGGAGGTCTTTTCTTCTCAGTAGGCCTGTTTTGTCTTTGTAGCAGAGTGCCCCGTGGTTGGTGTAAGAAACTGGAGCAGATGCTATGTAAGGAGTATGTTATCGATGGAGACTGCTGGAGAGATCCCTCTCTTTGCCCGAGATCCCGTCATCATGAGTTACTTTCTTCCCTCTCTAGGAGATGGATTAACAATATCTGAATTATTTATTTCTGAGCATAGTACACCGCTTCTAAGAAAAAAAATTGCCTGTCAATAGTGAGAAAGGAGAATTGCAGAGTGGAAATTCTGCAATTTTTTTGCTAATCATAT